CCAACATGTGACCAAGACTGGGTGCACACAACGCAACTCCTTGCAAGCCCATGCAATGCTTCCAAGAAAGCTTGCAGGCACAGCTTGCGCCCCTTTATTCAGACACACCGTTATATGCTGCAGCTTCATGCTGAAGACTTCTTTGCCTTCTTCCCACAAGCACTGTCTAGCATTCTGGACGCTGAGTCCAAAAGCAGCTCATCCCCTCTGTCAAGGGGCCTCTTCTTCCTATACAGTGGAATTATAATGCCGTCCTTTTTCATGCTGGTCAGTTCCATGTTGCCAGCTTCGCCTTCAGGTGCGTGCTTGATGAAGTTGAATGGCACAAATAGCCCAGCTTCCTTTCTGAAATCCACTTTGCAAGGCGCAATCTGAAACTTAGTTTCCAGGCCAGGGTAAGTCAGCACCACAACATTCTTTGCATTTTTGTCAGGCTTTGCTTCCACCACTGTCCCCAAGGGTAACAACTTCAGTCCACCTCTCTTGACACTACTGCTGGCAAAGATCTGGTTGCTGCTTGACATCAAGACTTCAGGCTCATGACTCCTGGGATGGCTTGCAGGCACGGTAAAGCAACCCTCACAAAGCAACATGTAACAATTCCTAAAAACACTTGCCACTAGCATGTCTTTCTAAGGCAGGTTGCTCCAAGTACAAGTCATAGATGGCAGTTTGCAGCACTGCCTTGGCTTTGTCTACCTGGAGCTGCTCTGAATTCGCTGGCTGCATCTTCGTCAAAATGCTGCCGTCAATCAGGGCAGGCTCTTTCGAGTAGCAGACTTTCCAAGTCTTTAGCTCATCATGCTGCACATCCACTGTCACAGGGCTGCCAAACAGAGGGGCGTGCGTCATCTTGGCAAAAGAAGCCTGCATCTCAGTGAATTTGAAAATTTGGCCAGGATACTTTGCATTGGTGTAGCATTTGCCAACTTCCAAGTGAGGGTTGGCAGACATCGCAATGAACTTAGGGTCTGCTGTGTTCTGCAAAGGGACAGGGGGTTTACTGCCAGAAGATGCAGCACCACTGGCTGCAAGCGCAGCAGGAGCAATCTTGCCATCCTTCACCATGACAGACCAGTCCTCTGAAAACAGAGTGTTGATTTGCTCCAGGCTGTCATAGGACTTCTTCTCCCTGCCTTTGGCCTGCTTGTTCAGCATGAACAGGACCAATCTGCACATAAACCTTCCCAAGGCCAAGCACTTCTTGTCCCATGCCAAGCATGGTGTCTTGGATGCCAAGTTCCAAGCATTCACCAACAGCAACTCTGCCTTACTGACCATGCTGCCGAAAGCCTGGCCTTTGAGCTTGTCCACATCTGTTTTGCTCAACAGCCTACCGTAGCCATCTCTCTGGACAGCTTTGGGCGAAGTAAGCTGTGTGGCAATGAGGGCTGTCCTCAGCATTGGGTAAGTTGTTGAGCTGCTTCTGAAGTCAAGATGGCTGAGAAATTCCTCCCCCAGCTGTAGCGCACCTCCAGCCTGTCTGCCTTACACAGCTCACAGCAAACCAGCCTTGGTATTAAGTTAATGCAAACCAGTCACTGATGGACTCTGCAAGCTTCACCAAAGGGAACTCCTCACCTCCACCATACTTTGCTACCCATTGAGCAATCATGGGCACATAGTGAGCCCTGAGTGGCATGCAGGCTGCGGTCTGGGCAATGGCAACATCCAAGTCCTTGCTCCTGCTGTACCAGAAAGCCAAGCTCATTGCTTGCTCCTGGGCGTGCTTGCCACCTGTTGAGAAGTGTTCAAGCTGCCTTGCAAGAACCCGGGGAGCCACTCAAGGTGTTCTTCCACTTCTGCGCTGATCACCTTCCATGTCCAGCCTTCCTTGATCAAAGCTTCTAAGACCGGGTCTGCATACTTTGAAAGCAAACTGTCCAAGGTCAGCAGGCCATTGTTCACTCTGGCAAGTTCTTCGTGCTCTGTGCTGCAAGTGCCTGCTGCCACTGTTTTCATAAACATGCCCACATGGGAGCAAGCCACTGTCAAATATCTTTCTGTGGAGAGCACTGGGGCAATTTTGTTCTCTGACGCGCTTACCAGCTCCAGGTTTGCCTGCAGTTGCGTCTGCTTCTGGCCTGGCTCCTTTGCCATTTCAAAAGCCAAGGAGTCACTCAGCTTGTCCACCAAGCACCCCATGGTCAAAACCATGGCTCCTTTGGCATGCATGTCAAAGCTGTTGAGCATGGCCCCAGATCGGTTGCTGGGATGCACCAGCAACTGCACAGGCTTCACCTTCTGCTCCCACAGCAAGCCTGCAGCTTGCAGCTTGCTCAAAATGACCTGACACTTTCTGTTGATCTGAAGCCCTTCATCACATCTCACTGCTATAATCTCTGCTTTCAAAGCATCATCCATGGCATGGGGCTGCAGCACTAGCAGCTTGGTGACGGCTGCCTTGTAATGTCATGCTTCGCTTGCTGGTCATGAAACTCTGCATGTTCCTTGTGCTGCGCATGTGCTGGGCAGGTGCTTCTTGCTGCTCCTCTATAGT